TTCAGTTTTTTGTTTTCCAAATATCCCATTCTTTGTTTTCTCATTTGGAATATATGTTTTTCCAATGTAATTTCCATAGTGGGGACGTAATGGTTGGGATTATTAACACTGGTGGAGATGGTCTCTGGGGTTTTGGGGTTGACTGTGGTTGCTGGAGACAATGAGGTGATAAGCTAATAAGCTATAGAAGTGACATAATGGTTGACAGTGGTTGCTAGAGACAATGGAGGTGATAAGCTAAAGGAGTGACATAGTGGTTGACAGTATGGTGGGACTGTCTTTGGCCATGATGAGGTGGCCAACAGTGGCTGAAGTGGTGAGGATAGTCATCATAGGTGGTTACTGGTTAGTCATAACTTCGGAAAGCTTATCATTTATTTTTTCCTCCAAGTTTGAGAGAAATAGATTCATTGAAGAATAGATTTCTGCTTTCTAAATTATGAAAACTGCTAAGTTTATTTATTTTTTGTTTTCCGTTCAAAGTCTTCTAGTTTTTTTTATTCAGAACAAGTAAAACTTTTTTGGACCTAGGAGTTCCCATTCATAACTTAATATTGGGTTGAGGTTCACTATTTCTCTAAATACCAGTGATTTGGCAACTGGAAACCCATCATCATATTAACAAAAATAGATAAGCAAGTAGGCAAATAAAAATTTTGGCAAAGAGAGAGCTAACGTCCAAACCAGTATCACAAGTCACAACCAAATTTTGGCAAAGAGATAGCTAACGTCCAAACCAGTATCTCAAATCTGCAACAATGGTTGCTCTAAAATTCTGCAGGGTTGCAACTCTGGTGCAGCCTTAAGGGATTTTCTAGGAAGCCCTATGAGAGAGCATATCCTCGAGAGGCTTAAGGTGACATGTCTAGCTTCAGCTGCTCACCCCGTCCGTGGTCTGCCTCTACTCACACCCTCGACCAAACTCTCTATACCCTTTCATTGGTGCCATCGGGGCCCTCCTGCGGACATAACCAATTAACCATACCACTGCAGTCTTCACCGCTGACTTTATCCAAAGTAGATGTGGCTCCTCGGTTTGCCTGAAAGACCTCTTCAATGCGGACATAACCAATGAGGTCTTTCCGGCTCATTCAGTTTTTTCTTCATTATGGTATGACCACAACTCTATCAGGCATCCTCATTTCTGCAACGTCCAACATCCACTCTTGTGTCTTCCTAACATTCAATACTCAGGCTCATACATCAAATTATCATGTAGAATTTATTCTTCACTTTTAGCATCATTCCTGCGGCAGTGCTCCATTTAAACCATCCTGGTTTTATATGGGGTGTGAATTGTGACATCATTCTCGACCTTTCCCTTTTTTGGAGTCTATTGCTCCCAAAATTTGCAAGTGATTTGAATAGGGCATTTAAGTTCATTAAGAAGTTCTCACAATGCCAAAAACAATATGTGCATCATGAAACATGCCTTTACGACTTCCTCGAGTGCTGGTTTCAATTTCCCATTGGCTTTTTAACTGTTATAAGATGATAAGTTGACATTGAGTACTAACTAATATTCTTAACAATTATCATCTTGGGTTAGATTTTTTTCCTTGTTGCGGAAAAACAGCCAACAGACTTGGAGTTTGGGTGGAATATGCTTCAAGCTGTTAAGAATGAGTTAGGGGTTTTCCCATCCCGCAAGGGCCTCGATTTCCTCCTCAGTGCATGTCTAAGCTCCAATGGGTCACCAATTTGTTTCAAGATTTGGGAAGAGTACCCGAAAGCCGGTCTTCCATACAACACACTAAATTATTTGAGGTAAAATCCTGCATCTTTCTTGCTAGAATCACTCTTATTGTTTTGCTTTAATTTTTCTGTGGCTTACCTGATAGGAAATTTTGTGAAAATGTGAAGCACATGAAAGTGCTTGACGCTTTGACCTAGTATGTCCATGCTCCATTTAAAAATGACCATTTAAAAAGTGAACTGATTCTAAAAATACCACCTTTCACCTCTTGTCAAAATTGTTCCACTTGAGATAATCTAAAAAATCCTATCTTTACACCTCATCTACTTTTGTTGTATCATGATGACCTACAACCTGTTAACGGCGCCATGCACCACTTAAAAAAGGAAGTCAACAAAAAATCTACCGTCAATGGGCGAATGAGCCATTAATCATTTGGTCCAACGTTCATATCGCTGGTAGCATTTCCAGGCAGTGACAGCGATGCTGTGATAAAACCAAAATCATTTTCAACTTTGAATTGTTTAGGAACCTATGACCTATGTATGGAAAGTCACTATCATCTCCCCCAAGCCCAACTATAATTTTCATAATCAATATCATGCTTCCTGTGCTGAAGGAAAGTCAATCACATCCTATTCATTTTTATAACAAGTAATGTGAAGGCGGAACTTGGTCCAATGAAAAAAAATCTAGCCACAGTTTCAAAGCTTTGGTGTGAAGAGAATGAAGAGAAGTGCAATCGAATGAAACTCAACAAGGCAGTGAGAGAACTATTCCTTCCCTCCTGAATCCAGCTTGTTGAGTTCACTCGATAAATTGTAGGCGAAATTCGTAAGAGTAATACATACTTTCAGGCATTCTACAATAATAATCCCTACTGAGAGTGTTCATAAAAATAATCTGAACTAGCAATGTTGTTCACATGAATAAATTGGGGTAGGGGTTGAGAGCATTAAACGAATATTAATGCGAATAAACCTCAATTTATTCTTGTGAACATCATTGCTAGTTCAGATTAATTTATGAACACTCCGTATGGATTATTCTTATCAAATTGGCCTAAATTGTATGAGCCAACTCAGTTCACCTGCTACGATTGGTACAAATATATTGCCGATACTAATAAATTAAAGAACAATTTCTTACGCGCCTGGCTACATAACATGTAGTTGATTATGAGCTGACTCAGCTTCACCTGCTACATTTGGTACATATATACTGTTGAGAACTTGAGATTAATAGCTTAAGAAACAGTTTTTGCGTGCCTGGCCACATAACATGAAGTTCGTTGTTAATTATTTAAGTTTTTGTAACTTGTATTGCGTGTGTCAAATCACAGCTCCAGTGCTCCACCAAACCAGATTATCTATGTGAAATGAATGAATTTGCAGAAATTGCTGAATATTAGAAGATAATGTTCTAGTTTTCTTCTAATTTTTACACATCTTTTTATATATTCCAATGCCTTTGCAGGATGTACCAAGTTCTTTTGGCCTCAGGTTTACTAAAGCCTGCAGCCCAAATACTAAGTAACATTTCAAATGAAGATCCACATGTTTGGTGTGTCATCAACGCATGCCAAACTGTTTACAGAAATTCTTCTCAAAGCAGAAACGTTGAAACTTTTGACAAGTAGGCTTCACAGAAGTACTTAGAATTGTGATGTAAATATGAAATTGGTGCCTATTATAACGACAACATGTGTGCTCAAATAGATCTAGCGATAGGAATAGTATGAATGTAATCTCAAACAGACCGAAGTCTATTGCAGACCAGGGTTCGGATAGGGTACTCAACGGTCAAATGTTCTTTACAGTTGTATAGTTAATTTATGAATGTTCTGTAATGCTTGTTTAAGGATGTATCAAAACAAGTATTTGTTAGGGACCACTGTAAATAGCTTGCCTCCACATGAAATTGTATCTTAAACACTTCACATTTAAGGTACTTAACTCTCAGCATTCAATTGATTTTTTACTTAAGCATCTAATTTTTTGTTCATCTTCGGCTTGTCTAGTTGAATCCTTCGCTTGTCCTGGGCTTCATTTTGTTAATTATACCTCTTAAAATTTGTACTCCGTAATCCATATTATGAACACTATAAAGTTTATAGTGTTTTTCTCTAAAATCTTTTTAGTGAAGGTTGGTTTTATGAGTTTTCATGTTTATTTGGGAAAATTTTCAAATAAACTCTTGTATCAGATCCAAAATGTCAATTAAACCCTCACTCAGTAATCATTCAATACAGCCCACAAACTTAGAGAAAAGGGCCGAATAAGGCCACGTACTAACCAAAAAGGTCAAATAAGGCCTTACTTAAGAGGCTCTGTCCGGCCATCGCCATTTGGGGTTGTTTCTGGTGGAATTTTTTGATGCAATTTTTTGACCATTTTATTCATTAAGTCTAGTTTACTCATACTAAATTTCAGCTAACAATTCAATCGGGAAGGCATTCAAATGAATTCTTGAAGATAACTGCGCTTTAAATGTCTTCCCGATTGAATTGTTAGCTGAAATTTGGTATGAGTAAACTAGACTTAATGAATAAAATGGTCAAAAAATTGCATCAAAAAATTCCACCGAGAACCACCCCAAATGGCGAAGGCCGGCCAGAACCTCATAAATAAGGTCTTATTTGACCTTTTTTGGTTAGTACGTGGCCTTATTTGCCCCTTTTCCCCACAAACTTATTAAAAAATTGCCTAGATTCTTTATAGCTGGTCATAACAAGTTTGCACGTAAATTGCTTGTGTGGCTAGAACACTAATCTAGTTTGCTACTGCATAAGAGAGAATCTACGGCAAAGGCTCTTCTGTGCACCCGTGAGGCCGTGAATCAACAAATCGTGAAATTTGTTTGATTCTTCAACTCTTTCGTTAGAAATCCAGAATCTCATTTGAAATCCAAATGATTTGCAATCTGTCATGGTTTGCACACGTTGTTTTAATATACTCTTTTATAAATTCAATCGCAGTAGAATTTAAAGGAGCTCGGGCACAAAAATAAAGTAATGAAATATCAAACAACATGGAAGCTTTGTCAAAATAGACGATAAAAGCCAAATAAAATAGCAGGCGTTTTACAGGCAAATTTCACTTATTTTAGTTGGTATTTGTTTGTCTTTTAAGTCTGTCTCTTTTGTGTTCTTACTCTATTTGAGATTTGTAATTGGTTCGATTTAATAAGAGATCTTTAAGATTGACGGAGAATTTTAGATCCAATAGGTGGTCAGCAATTCACCCAACTATAGATGGTGTGGCTATATGTCCGATAAATTTTATTCAGTGGATGCATTTGAGCCTTTGAGGTCCAACGTTCATAAGCTTTTATTAGCAATACATAATTTTTTTCATTACATAAATAGCAAGCCTGTTCAGCATTGGGTGTTACTATGTTAGTCAAACCCACTCTCCATCGGTATTTACGAGATGGCTAAGTCCAATACAAATAAGCATCAAAGTTCATATCCAAAGATGAAAAACCAAACTATAATAAAAACTATTCAACCAAACTGGGGGATTGAAACCAGGACCGGACACGACAATGTCCACCCCAACATATTAATTCATCTATACATCTGGTATTGAATATAATATATATAATGGGGCGGAAGAGGGCAAGATGTATCATGTACACAGACCTCAACTCTACCCCTGGGAGTGAAGAGGCTGTTTCCGTGATGACTCCCAGCAAAAAATGTGATCTGGACAAAATTGCAGACAATATTTAACAAACAAAAAAAGATTAAATTTGGGTCCTCAATTGCAGCAATAGTTTCTGCATACTTTCCAGTTTCTTAGACATTTGTTTAAAACTTTCAAGCTGCCCAGTGGAAGATTCTGAACTATGTAGCTTGACCCCAAGGGCTTCACAGCTAGCCTGTGTTTCCAGTAACAACTCTTCTAGAGAAGCTACAGTAGCATCCAAATGAGAATTTCTGATCCCACAGGTCCCATTTGAGGGTGGACTAAGCCCGGCAGTATTGGAGCACGGGGTGAATATTCTTTCAAAACCTTCACTTCCTGCAATTCATAAGATCCATGACATAGCATTCAAAACTTCAAGTTAAATGTTCTGATGCTCAAGTGGGCACGGTTCAGTTACAAAGTTCAAGTTCGGATGCTCAAATGGGCATCAGTTCAGCTCAAGAAAAGAAGAGTCAGAGCGGAAGCAGTGAAGTGGAGTGTCGTTGAAGTGTTCAAGTTTCGATTTCCCAAGGGTTCACAGTTGAAAGATCAAGTGAAGTGCAAGTTTCTTTAGAAATTTAGAGTTTTTATGACAACTTTTGAACATGTGTTGCTCAGATGGGGGGGAATATAGTTATCATAGTTTCAGCAGTATTAAGGTTTCTTATTCCTACCAGCTTTAATTCCACTACTTTTCTGCATAAACATTGTAATAACCTCTAGAAATTATGAAGTTGCAAGTTGAAAGTTATATCAATAAAAGTAATACGGAGTAGTTTATTATTTTGAACAGGTATGTTGTTCCAAAAAGCAGTAAGCGACACCTAAGCAGGCTTGGATAAGGGCTCAATACCAGGACTGCTAGAGTCAGATCGATTTGAGCCACTATACAGCTCAAATAACACTACTTAGTGTTGGCAGGAAGGTACAGTTCATTCAAAGAAAGCGCTTTTTATGATTCCACCATTCCTTGCAGAATCCCATGAGCAATTTATCATGTCAAAAACCTAACAGCACTAAGAGTAACTAAAGTTATTGCAAATTAAAAAGTTAATTGCATGAGTACCTAAATTGCTTAGTTGACTAATTGCTGCTTGGCCAACTGAACTTTCTAATTTAAGAACCCGTAGGATTCCAGCAGTTATCCGGCCCATAGAATCAATTTCGGACTGGCACAAGAAAGTGAGGTATTGTAGCTCATCCTTTCTTACAATTGCCTCAATCTGCAAAGTTAACATAAACAGCATCAATACCATGTTTATTTATACTCACTCTAATAAGCACTCTGAGAATTAATTTCTATCAAACAAAGGCAAACATATTCACCGGTTGTTTGACTGAGAATTTCACATTCTCCACCACCCACTTTGCCATTCCATCATCAATCTTCTCTTCTGAGCTAACTAGGTCAACTTCAAGGTTTATACCGGCATAGGTCTCAGAAGTTTCTTTGGGCACTCTATCCAGAAGACCACTTTGTTTAGTAACCTTTTGAGTTTGTGGCTTTGAGATCTGCAACCCTTCCACACCAACCTGTATAGATATGTCTATGTAAGGCCCACCAGCCCTTAGTTAATTCTATATAGAATTCTAATGATCACAGATAAAGTAAACAACATGCATTAATAATTTATGAGAAGTCAAGTATATCTTTGATATAATTTAGGATCAAGTTGGGATTCTGCTGGGCCATAGAGTGCTAGGGCCAAACTATACCAAAAGATTGTATCCACTTTGTTAGCTAAGTTCAACCCAAGAACAACTGGCTACTGCGGCTAAACTTTGAGATGAACAACCAGGCTAAAGGCTCAAGGGCCATTGGGGATGGACGAAATACACAAATAAAATGGGCCAAAACCTACTCTGATTCCATAAGAGAACTCAGAATTGTTATGTCACTCAATTGGGCCATAAGGCACTTGAGTGAACCCAATAAAAGATTGAATCCAATCTGTTAACTACTTCAACCCATTGAAAGAAAAAACTTGTTCAACCCAAGGTCTTATTAACTTATCATTCTCTCTTTAATTATCCAAAATGGGGCTCCCGAATGATCTTAATATATATGAAGAAAAGGAAAAGGAAAAATCTCACTGTAACCAACTCCACTGGATGTTTTAGTTTTCCACAAAGCCTGGCATTTCCTATCCCCTTTTGCTTAGGGCAGCCTTTTGCTTTAACACCGATGCTGTGGAAAGAAGCATGCCAGCACCTCTCTTCTCTAGAAGAGTCTTCATGATTCTGGAACCACCACCTGTCAGCTGACTCTTGTGCACCTTCTAGAGCGAATAACCAATCTTTTAACTCTATTGACACATCTAAATCATCGGGTGCTCCAAACTGCAGGATACTGACATCCTTTCCATTGTCTATGCGTCCACCTATAGAGAAAAAAACATGAAAATAGATGATTGAATGCTTTTAAAAGTTAAAACAAAACAGAACAAACCAAAAGGATGTACAATATGCATTCCATACGCTCTTTAAGCTCATTTGCAATGAGAGGCGTTGACTTGAAAAGTTTGGATAAAGGTCCAGCAGATAAATGCTCTAGTCCTTTAGTAAGCGCTTCTCCTGGGCCTCCATCTGGTCCAAAAATCCCAAACTTATGAAGCAATGCTTCAGCATAATTCATTCCTCCTCCAAGTCGAACTCCAGCAATACAAGCTGAGATATTTATCGTATGACATTCCGAATCTTGGGTGTTAAATGGTATCACTTGCACCATGTTGAGATCCAAGAGAGGAACTGACTTAACACTGCCAATTGATTGATAGGTCATACTATTTTGCACCCAAAAAACAGCCCTAAGGTGATATCCATCCAGATCTACAGAACCAGTCGGGTATGCGGTCAAGGCTAGCTCATTTTCATTTTTCCAGCTAGGTGCAGTGTCTGCACAATCAACCCGAATACTCTCCCACACTAAACTGGATGAGATGGCAACAGCACCACCCAAGGTTCTATGGGTAACTTTAATGAATAGTTCACTTCCCAAAAAATGAACCAATGGCATTCCATTATTATTCAACGACGACTCCAAAAAGCTTAGCTGCAGGTTTTTCACAGTCAGACACACACCAGTATCACCAGGAACCTTTTCTTTCAATATCTCACCCAAAGAGTCATTTCTAATATCCTTCAGAGGGTTGTTCTGTGCAATTGTTGCTATTCTTTCACTGACCCTCCCAAAATATGCATAAAGGTCCAGAACAAAAAATAATTGGTCAGCTGAAGTGTTGGACATATATTGTTGACAAGAAACTCCTACTCTGATAACACCACCGGGAGGTGGTACATTTGTCAAAGGGCTTCCATCTGCAGTGGCCATTGCGACCTCCATGCAGAAATCTTTCAGTTCAACACAACTCCATGAACCTGAAGACGGTGTTGAAGTACTTTGAGCTGTGGTTAAGTTACAGGTTTCTAGAGACAAACTAATGAGTGAAGCACCAGCCATCAATTTCTTCTGGCTAGCATCAACGGGTTGTCCTTTCCAAAGACAAAAGCATGCTGGGTCCTTCTCGAGGTTTAGTAACTTTAGTTTTAGCAAAGGTGACTCGGAGAAGAACAAGTCTTCAATATGGAGTCTGGTCCCAGAAAATAAACCCTGAGAAGTTACGGTATCTATTTCATTGTAAGTGTGTTTCCCGATGCCCAATGGAACTGTGATATCCAATCCTTTAAGACTGAACATGAGGGAGCCGATTGAAAAATCAGGTAAAACTGCACCAGGATTGACTACAATTCCATCAGCTAGAAGGGAAGCTATCCTCAAACAGGATTCTTCCTGCAGATGGATCTGGCAACATGACACATTTTGATTATTAATAACTACTTAAAAATGTAAAAAGAGTCTAGTTTTAGCTAGAAATATGCATAGACATATGTACCTTGAGGGGATGACAATGAATGACAGTTTCAGAAGCAAAAATAGGTGGGCAAGGGGTGGGCTTGAGCTGCAGAGAATGGATGGATATTAAAGGAATGTTGCAACCTAATTGCCATTGTCGTTCTCCCAGAGGATATATTGGAGGGAAAAAATCTTTAGCTGTTTAATCATAAAAAAGAAGGAATGCTTTAACATGGACACAAAATTTATGGACCAGAAATGTCACTCAACAAAGCCTATGATCATACCAAAGTCAGGAATGTCCACTACATTGTTTGAAGACGCCAGCATCAGTGGCTGCACTAAGGTGCATGGTGGGTGTGAAAATGTGTCCCTGCATTGAAAGAAATTCGCCAGTGTTCAAAGGCATGGAAGGACTGCAGTACACGAGTAAACAGATCATATCACGTTAGAGTTTTCCAAGGTAAGTTTAAACGCTGCATGGGAAATTTATTTTTCACCGGGAGAGAGAGCAAACGGAATATATCTCTATTTTAAATCTGTATGGTGAAAATAACAAGAGAGAATAAAAAGGTTATTTCCATGGTGGAAATACCAACGTATGCAGAATAGACCACGGATGAAGTAGCATTCCACAGAAAACACTCATTTTAACATAGTTCATTTTCTATTGTGCAAAATGAGTTAAAGGTTATAGTAGTCATGGAGATACAGACCCATTTGTATATGTTCATTCTGACTTCTATAGAATAGTACAGTGCACGTATATAAACAGGATTGCACTGTCCAAACTGGCCTCATATATCACAAACAGATAAGCATCTTAGGGGTCTACAGCATCAGTGGACATGCATGTAACCTAAGACAGAATACAGATGAGTATATACTAACAAATTAAATGCCTGAATTCAATTCAAAGCCTCCTTAGAATATCATATATGAGCAGCAGATTAAACTTGCCTCAAAAACAGTCCGCCTATCATAACTATACTCAAATATTTTGCATTTTCACCATTGCTGAGACTAGCCTGCATAAACAAGCACAATATTTGATTGTAGACTTGTACTGTCATTAATTTTGAAAATAAAGCTTACCCTATATCATTTAGGTGATTGAAGCAACAGCAATTATACCCGAGAAAAGAATAGTGACTGCATCAACAGTTCAAGCTGGAAATCTGCAAGCGAGGCAGAAACTTTAACCAGTGAGACATAAGAAAACAAATATCATCCTCATACACTAGAAAGGAATATCTCGCATGGAGCAAAGAGCAAAACATGTATCAAATAGAAATTGTAGGACGTAAAACTAACCCGTATCCTTAATACACAAAAATATGTGGTCCACCACAATTGATACCAGAGAACGTCCAGCAGCTTCACTAGAATGCTGCCCAAGTTATCAGAAAGGAATGTGTGAAGTGCCCGGGGGGAGAGTTTAGTTACTAATTTGTATTGCAAGTTGAACTGTTGGAATTAGGAGTAGATAACAGCCATTTAAGAGAAAGAATTATCACAGGGCTTCATGATGGAGCATCAGTGTTCTCTTTGGTTGTGACTTGTGAGATATGCCAAAAGCTTTATATTTACGGAAGGCCATACCTGCTGAACATTTGGATTCACATCTCCTCTATTTAAGCAGACATATAAGCCCGTCATGAACCGGAGAAGAGCTCTTAGTCCTGTTGTGGCACATCAGGATACTATGCAAGTATGCTAATTTGCTCCATAGAAGTAAAATTTCAAAATTATAGCATAGAGCATGCATAATAGTGTACTTGCCTGGCTCACTCAGAGCGGGACAAACAGCTTCAGTAATGTGTAATTGAACCTCAAGGCCCATTGGATTATTCAGTTCAGTCCGCTGAATGGTAATCTGATTGCATCCATATAATCATGCTTCAGTTTATACTTTAAATGATATCTTACAAATACTGAAGTTAGAAGTTCGTGAACTGTGTGAGTTACAATACATTAGCCTCTCCTGATATTCCTTCAACAAATCTTTCTCCACCAAAAAACACACGTCTTGCTCCGTCTTCGTCTTTCCTATGAGACCCACCTTGGGAAGATGCAAAATAGGCATCTGAGAACATATCAGGATGTGGTAACAGGTCAATTGACAGATATTCCCACTTCAGCTTCTGCATTTAAAAGAAATAGATCTCACCACATAGAGAACTAGTAGGTTACAGGTTCCAAGCTCATGATCATAACAATCATCATCAAATAATCACCTCAATCGCACCAAATTGTTATTTGTGTCTTGAAATTTGTAGTGTCAGTTAATTGTCTAAGATATATAGCACTATAAATTCATGCAAAAAACACAGTGACCAACTTTTCTACCGGATTCCTTTCTTGTCGCAACCTTCTAGAAGGAATAACGAGAGACAATTTTAAAACCGTCATCATCATAGGTTGTATCTACTTGGCTACTTGCATGAAAAATATAATGAGATGATGATAAATTGAGAAAGTTGCTATAGTCATGTCTCACTGTAAAATTGATATTGTAATATCAATGTGAAACATCATAGAACATGACAAATTCCAAGGTTTAAGGTGCTAAAAGAAGAAATGGCCAGCAAACTTAGTTCTACAAATACAAGTTACAAGGTAAATAAGATGAAAGCAAAATGCAAATCGCATTTTAAAAAGAAAAAGGAAAGAAAAAGGAATAGAACATGGGAAAACCTATATAGCAACTTGACCTTGAACACATATATAAAGTTCTTGTTATTGGAAAAGTCTCTGGCTTCCTTGAGATTTACAACCTGTCCAAACAGAATGTGTAGGTAACTAACAACAACCACTTAGATAGACAATGCAAAGCAAATCTCGAAAATAACCTGCCAGTTCTCGTTTGTTGTATATAGCAGAAGGTTTCTTATAGTAATTGATGCCATAGGCGATGCCCTGGTGAAAAGAGTTTTTAAAATGAATAGAATATACAAGGTCAAAAAAAGTCAGAGCAGATTAAAAATAGCACATGTGGTTATTTATAGCCCAATAATTTCCATGTACACCAGCGGAACCTGACCACCTTGCCAGTCGGAGTCTGCTTGAAGATGAACCCTGGAACCGAGCCATCAGAGATGCCAGTTCTTAAGTCGCCCCAAATGCCTATGGGTTAACATCAGTGGGAATTGAACCAAGTAGCAAGCATACTTAAATATCCAAGCGCACTTGTGTATCCATACTAACTGACTACCCACACGGTTTAAAACAATAGATTCACCCCTCCTTGAAGCTCAAGAATATTAATCCAATTGTGGACGTGAAAGATGGGTCCACTATCAATAAGGGACCTGAAAGATAAAATGTGTCGATATAGGACCCAAATGATTGAACACTATCAATCTAAGACCTAAATTATCATGGATTTGGATTTTTTTTATTAATTCTATTACTAAATTTTAATGATTTTTTCTTCAAAAAAGTTTATTAGTTTAATAAGATTAAATAATATTTAATTTTTGAAAATAAAAAGATCAAAATTCATGATATTTTAGGCCTTAGATTGATAGTTTTCAATCATTCAGGTTTTATATCGACACATTATCTTTCAGGTCCCTTATTGATAGTGAACCTATATTTCAGGTCCTAGATTGATGAAATTCCATAGTGAGCCTAAACCCAATGGGAATGAGAAACTTAAACCCTGAGCCTAACGAAAGTTGAAAACAATAACACCACCAAAACTAGGATCACTGCATTTTATGAAAACCATTTTCTATATAACACCCCCCTCAAGTTGGCACATTACATGCTCCATGCTCGATACACAAATTTAAAACATATAAACAAACATAACTTCAACTTAACCTTTGAAAATTATAAACTTGGACGCTTGAATAGAAAGGAACTCCAATTGAACTTTTCTTGAACTGAACTAATGCCAACTTGACCATCCGAACATGAATTTATGTTACCTTAACTTCAACTTTAACTTAAATTTAACTCAATGATAACATAACATAGGTTAACTTTGACCAGTACACTTAAGACTCCATCATTTTTCATCTACTTCTTCCTTGCCTGCTTTGACTTTGATGTGGAGATAACAGTCATAACACATATGTCATTCCCTTGCTTTATACAGGATGATTAGCACGCCCGGATTCGACGTTAGTCATTGACTCACCGTTGACAAAATAAATATGGAAAAATATGGGGAAAACTTCATGGGGTCACCAGGACGTAGATAACTAAACTGAATTTTTTGGCTGGCTACAACATATCAGTGAGTGGCGGAACACGCAGCGTTCGACGAAAGCGATTTTTTTATGTTTAGTGAGGTGAAGGGTGACAACTTCAAGGTGGTCACCTGGAGGTAGACAATTAAACTGAAAATATTTTGGAAAAAGATTGTCGGATGGCTAACACATACCGGCGAGTGGCCGAAAGTTCCTGCACGAGGCGGCGTGTGTAACATTGGACTAAAGCAATTTTTTAATATGGTGTGTTTGTGAACAAATGATAGAGACGTTTTAGATCTAAACAAGGTTTTCGTGGAATAATTTAGCACTAGGCTTTGATACCTTATGAAATAACGAACTACTATTTGTATTGATACGAATTGGGAATGGCAACTTTATAATAATAATTCCTAGAGACTATTACATACTCCCTCTGTCCAAGATTAATCGTCTTGTTTGGTTTGGCACAAGTTTTAATAAAGTGGTTGAAAAGGTAAAAGTTATTGTTGAGATTAGAGTAGAAAAAAGTGAAATGATATGAGCCACATATTAGTGCCAAAAAAGGAAAACGGGGCGATTATTTCAGGAAGGAGGGACTAGCTTATATAGAGAACTGACGGGCCTAAACCAGATAGTAATAAAAAACCTAAACTCTAAACTCAATACAGCAACATTACCCCATTGCCGCAACGGCTCCCACCTAAACTCTAAACTCCATGAGAAAGAAAAATGTAACACTACTACTAAAACTTACTTCAACAATTTTCTATTGGTAACAACAATATAACGATTTTTTAAACTCAATGAGAAAGACAAATGCAGCAAGAGTTATATTGGGAATAACCATTTTCTATACTTTATAACAATTTTTTACTTGAAAACCACCGGGAATTCCCAACTATGTTACCAGTTTACATGTTTTGATGAAAATCAACTCCCTAATAAATTTTATTTCTTGTTTCTTTTTTGACTTTATAGTGCGGCACTAGTACATACAAACATTTGGGAATTCAGGAGTTAGATGTCAACAATTAAGAGAAAGTTAAACACGCACTACATGAATTACCAAGTTGCTCCTCCTCGGCGTCGAGAACCTCCATGGGTTTCAAGCAGAAGGTTAACTGTGTGCACTTCTAGAGTCATTCCATCTGCAATCTGATGATAAAGAAGACTACGCCTATCATTCACTCGGACAAAAACTTCAGCAGTGACCAAAAGAAACAAACTTGTGAAATTATCATCAGTAAACAACATGCTCCGAGGATTGGAAATAATATGGGTTAAGAAACAACACCTAAAAACTGAAAAAACTCCTTTTCGTATTTAGTCATTTGAATTTAATAGTAAAAGAAAAAGTAGAACAAGCATTATGGAATAGCTAGCAGCCTAGCACCTAATAGACAGGCATGCATTTAAGAGTAACTCGACCCAACTATGCCTTCATTTCCAAATTAACCAGTAAGTGTGAAGCTTTGCATTATCATCCTTCTAAACCACATCTCCCTGAGTACGATTTGGTTTACCCCTCCAGTTAGCTCCTATGATCACCATGGAGTTCTTCTGACCAATGCATCTAGAAGACTCATCTCCTGTAAACTATTTTGTTGCACTCTTTTTAAGGAAAGGCATTAACTAATTCCTCAGCAAGTAGAGTGTGCTACTAGAGTCTCAGTATCAGTCGTCTTACACTTAAAATCATTTATACAATAAATAGGCCCCAACAGTCAAATACACCCAGCCCCCACAAACATGTACAAAACAGTCATATTCTGATCTCAGAGACTCAATCATTTGGCAATTTACACGCTGAATTTTTAAGATGATGACAATGTTTGAGGATCCAATGCCACCTTTGGATTAAAGAAATAGCACAAAGATGGGAAGACTACTCAGATGTCAATGTTTTGATCAACCACTACACTTGCCCATGTACCATTGACATTCAGAAGTTATAGTTTGCCAGAGAATAATGAGCTTATACACAACAGCATCCAGGACTTGATCCCAAAGGAGTTTGGGGTCAGGTAACAAAATTGCAAATTAGTTACATCAAGGGTATATGCATTCTTCAAGCAAACCCACAAAAAATTGAGTAAGTATCATGATATCCTCATGAAGAAAAGGGAAAGATGCACTATTAAATTGCAAAATTAATGTAAAACCAAAATTAAGAGAACAAATGATCACCTTGTCAGCTAAACCATAGCCACTGCTCTTTGTGGAGCTAGCGAATGATGTTGCACTGGGAGCAAAAGAAAACAGGGTAATCAACAAAATAAAATCATCCAAGTAATCATATAAAATGCAGTACTTCGTAAGTGAACCCATCTTGCTAAGAACATACCTGCTAAAGCTATTGGGTATATTAACATTGTCGTTTTCCTCCAGAACAATGTCAAGCCTATCAATTTGGATGATTATTGGCTCTATTTGCACATTGCTTACTGATGGGAGCTTTAAAGTAAAAATAAGAATGAATACATATTTTAAAAAGGATGAGATGATCCAAAAGATAAATGTCAGCTACAGTTACATTGTAGTGTAATACTTCTACAGTTCTACACTTCATGATGTTTTATGCTATAAGACACGATTTCTTGAGTTATCATACTTTTCAATGACTATAACCCATGTCAATATTCATCAAGAGATGATATGTTGCATGATGACAATGTTTTACCAGAGGTTAGATTCAGAAAGAAAAAATAACTCTACACATTACTCTAATGCAGTGGATGAGGTATCCATGGAGACACTCCCCATACAGTGGTTTCTCCAAGCTCTTTAAAAGAGTTCATTGTTTGCGCAAAAGTGCCATAAAGCACCTTTATCCAGGACTCAGTCCAGCATATTTTCCATGAAGACGGACTCCACAACCAGACAACCAGTTAACCATTCACATCCTTGGCAAGAATGGCTTGAGGAGCGCTACTTTTCTGGCTGGGTTCTGGCTGACACTGCCAACTGTAACAAAGTACAACTTTATGACCAGGTTTTCCGCAGGCATAATAAAATCTCTTGGATTCTAGATTTGTCCAGAAGATTGTCCAAGGCAACTTGTGTTTCATCCTTGAAATTTTGTCTTCTAATATTTCTTCATGAAACTATTTTTAAAAGATGGACCAGAAATTCAATAACCTAGTCTGTAAGCATAATTTTCAAGATGATTAACTTCTTCAGTTCTTACGTGACAACCAAGTTCCAGCAGTGTCATGTCCATCTTGTGCCTTCAAGTGATTCCGGTTATTCTTCCATGATCAGAAAACTTCTCTAAGAGAACGTTGAGTTGAAAAACTTCACACATCTTCATTCCACCTTTAATGATATGATGATATCAAAGCAAAGGTTTTCATATTGATGGATCTGATTTATTATAGACTTATCGCTGCTAAGTTGGAATTTCCACCAATTCCCAAAGCATACTTACATGTATCAGCATCACCCGTGCAATCTCGCCTCTCTAACGTCTCCTAAATTTTTTTGATAAACGTCTCTTCTAGAACAAGTCAAAGACAGTACTGAACATGGGTGCAAGAGGTGACATGAACCGCTTTGTTGTTGTTTTTTGCATACTTCAGTACTTCACCTTTTGGTCCTTACTCCTTACTAATAGCGGCAGGAGCAATCAAAACAGCTGATCCTGAAGAGTATAGACTTACCATTATCAATTGCATCGGAAGGTTGTTCTTCCAATAACACGTAGTCCAACTCCAGTCACTCAAAAGAAAATGAAAGCTTTGTGACCAACACTAGAAATTTGAACAATACTCAAGCTATGAAAGATCAAGAAAACATCCTTGCTTGAAAAGAGTCATTGAGCAATCACTTGATCACATGGAGGAAGAACAAGAATACGCCGTGAGCCCGTGACATTACACAACTGCCGCAAAAGTGCTTACAAACTGATCGTGAAGGCCGAAGGGTGATCACTTTCAAAGGTTCCATGGCACTTTTATTCATGTATACTCTGAGTAGAGGTTTAGAATTGAGTGAACCGATTAAATGAAGAATGAAGTAGTAATTATTCGGTTTTTGAAGGGGTGTATTGGTTTAGACAAACATAAATGGGTTTAGACAATTTACTGTAACAGTTTATCAAATGCAACCGTTGTTCAAGTTGATTTTTATTTCACCTTTCCCTGAGTTATATGATGACATAAACTCCAAGTCAAACTTTTAGATTCAATTCAACTAGTTTACTAGCCAAATCAGCCATATGTTTCACACCACTAATTGAATGTACTTCCATATCAAGAACAAAGGAAAATCGACTTCCCTCTAACATTTTTTTCCTAATGTTACTGCTGGCAAAGTTTGCAATCAGCAATACTTTAAAACTACTCCCTTAAAAAAACAATGGAAAAAGGTAAGAAATTTATATTTTAAAACGCAAGCAGGTAGATAAGATACTAACAATAATCTCCAACTTTCCCACTTTCGCAGAGGTAACATTCAGTGCTGGAGGTAGTCCTACACTAGCATGCAAAGCATCTCCATTTATATCTGCAGCAAATTCAGATCAATCCATCTAGTTGAGCTTAGAAAAAAGCATGAATAAGATCAAAAGAACGTAAATAGACGAAAATCACCTAGATTATAAAGCAGTGCAGTGCGGCCTTGTAACTTGAACTGGTCTCTACTGAAAGACTTGAGCCAATACTTCAGCGTGTACTCCAGAGCTCGTGCTATTAATGACTCCATCGGAGAATATAATTCTGCAACCGTTTGTTTAGATCTAAACCCAGCTAGGAAGCAACGTTGAGCAGGAGAAGCATCGGATTGGTGTGAATGAGCATCAGAAGGCTCATTTGCTTGGTGCGAATGAGCTTATAAGGTGTCGGGTGATCGGGCAGGGTCCCAGAGTTGAAATGCTTTTTTTCCTTCAAAAAATCGGTGCGATGGCAAATGGACAATCATTGCTGGCAGGTCCCGTTCATTACGACGTGAGGGAAGGGGAGAGGATCGATGAAGTGATGATGAAGAGGGTTTTGTCTTGCTTGATTGATTCAGCGTAATAATTACATCAATGAATGGGTGAACACTTGTCTGCACACGATTGTTGCAGACATCAATTATCATCAGGATGAATTCTTTTCTTGGGTGAACACTTTGCTATGTTTCAGTTTGCTTGTGGTATTTCAGTAACGGAGAATTTGAGAAAAGGTAGATAAAAAAGGTAAAAAGGTAAAAGTATTTCTTAATCTTATCTTAAAAACTTATAATAGGCAATGAGAGTTAGGTCATTTTAGGCATATGAAATGTGTTGGTGTAATAGGAGAACAATATATAGTTGTACTCTAAACTTTACAAGTTGTACTCTTATTTTATTCCATGAGTTGCCGTTTATACTTCCGTTAATCTTTTAAATGCCGTTTAGAATAAGGCTGGACAACAACAATCCAAGATCATTTTTGCCCTTCTTTACCGGTGCCTCCCCCATTCATTCCATTTGAGTTCATTTCAAATTTAATCATTTTTTAAGATATCATTTAATGTAATCTTTTAAATGTCGTATGGCTGTAAGTTGCTTCATATTTGATCTTTTTTCTCAAATGGCTGATCACGGTTTTATATTCTCTACCTCATAATGTGAATAATACTTTTAGTTTGATGCTCGATTGTAGTTCCCTTTTTTGCTTCGATTGTTCTAAATATTCATTTATCAATTTTTTTTAAATCAAATAACTAATTTAATATTAAATGATAGCAAAGATACAAGAGAATGAATAGCCTAAAGCTACGATGGGATGATAGACGGAACAAATTCAATGAATCCTTCCAGATTGCTAACCCTGCAATAATGTTGTTTAGTATAACAACTTTGCTGCTCTTCTTGCTACTCCGAAGAGAGAATAAAAAATTACAACTAAAAGATCCGGCTTCACCAGCATAATGAGCAAAAAATGTTTATTAATAGGACCAAAAGATGAACTTTTAATTAAGTACAGAGTATTAAGAGTCAAAAAAGAAGTGAAGAGTGGGTTGACACTTGACAGGGAGGGGCGTGCGCATGATAGTGGGGATGATGTCATGCCTGCATCATTCCTGCATCATTATTATTCCAAATTTTTTTGACTCTTATAACTCTTTTATTTGTTCTCATATTTTTTCAAAAAATATATCAAAATTTTTATTTTTTGTGATGACACAAATATATAATAAAACTAATAAACTATAAATTTTTCAATGTTTTTTTAAGGAGGTATTTAAACTAATATTAAGTTTAAATACCTAAATTATGAGTAATACTCATAATTTTAAATACTTATATGTTATAACATTTATAATATTTGTTGCTTGTAGATGGGATTGTTTGTTAACAAATTGCTGATGTTTTACATATATTCATGGGCTAAAGGGTCAAATAGGCTCATGTACTCGTTCGGAATGCTCAATTCGCCCCCTAAACTAAAAAAAATCTTCAATTGCCACTCTGAACTGGATAAAAAGTTTCAAATTTAACAATTTAGAGGTAACTATTCGGTCAACGCCACGTCATCAGGTCGTGTGCCAACTGTGCATCTGGTGTTGCAACTCGATCAAGGAGTCAAATCGAACAATTTAGAGGTAACTATTCCCTGAACCCAACGGAATTGTTCAAATCACCCCTCAATCGTTATATTCATGCAATGTGATCCTCCACGGGAATGACTTATACCACATATGCTCATAGCAGAGACATGTCATGTTTGTTTTTTCTAATATTTTAACAATTCTTTAACTCTCAATTCAACCACTATGTATCCAGCATGTTTCTTCAACCAGTTATATCCTAATAAACTAAAACTTTGTACAAAATTCATACAGCTCAATCAATTTTATTAACTGACATTATATCATGATAGTAATGCTATAAAATTCGTATTGGGCATATTCCTATCGCGCAACGCGCGTCACATAACTAGTGATACTTGATGAGTCGGCAGCCTTAGCGAGACAGTCGTCCGGCCTAGCCCGTTTGAAGAATTTTTCGGTGGAATTCTTTATGAAACATTCCCTTCTTCGTCAAATCCAGTTTGTGTCCACAAAAATTTAGTTGAAAATTCCATCGGGAAATTAGACAAATGTGTAATTGAAAAACAATGTGTTGTTTATATAACACACAGTGTTTTGAAATGATTTAGTTATTTGCCTTCCCGAGTGAACTTTAAACTGAAAAAATTCACTAAGAAGACCCTCAAATGGCCTCGTCCGGACGACGTGTCCTATCAAGCCGATCCTTAATTCTTTAACTTTTTACCTCGTCTATTTATTTATGCAAGTTTTCATTTTTTTGTCCACCAGAAGTCGACAGACGATAGTTTGGATTATTATAATATGATATTTCGATCTTTGTCGGACCATTATTGGCGAAAAGTCCCTAAAGTTGAGATTATTGTGAAATAATCGATTGTTGAGATTATTATGAGCGGACTGCCAATAGTTGAGATTATAATTATCAATTTTTCCTATTTTTAAAACTTATTTTCAAATAAAGTTACTCAAGAATAAAAATTATAAATAATAAGGGAAATACTAATTTTCAGAATCACCAACAACTCAAATCAAAACAAAACAATTTATCTTAATTTTGTGTTTAAGATACATAAAAATGTAACTCAAGTTACCGGATATATATTCTTATGATCACCACGATATAAAAATGTAACAAGATAATTTTGTGTCATAGTCAATAAAAGTTAGTGAGTCACTTTTTCTAACATGCTTATTTTAACAATACTTTAGATGTTATTTCTAAAAGGGGCGTCAGGATGTAATGAAAGCGGGGCCGAAGTGTTGATGTGGTGTACCTAAAGTTTTAATAATGTCTACTAGGGGTGTTTGTCGGTTCAGTTTGATCGGTTTTGTTTTGGAAAAGGTGAAACCGAACCGCACTACTTGAGTCGGTTTCGATTTGGTTAATATCGGTCGGTTCGTGACGGTTTCGGTTAGTTTTAGCATGTTTTTGTCGGTTTTTGTCGGTCGGTTTCGGTTCGGTCGGTTTTTTAACCCCAAGGGTGAAACCATAAACCGAATCGCCAATGTTTAATCGGTTTGAGTTGGTTTCGGTTTTGGTCGGTTCGATTTCGGTCGGTTTGTCGGTCAGTTTCAGTTTTTTTGTTCACCACTAATTGTCTACTACTCCGTATGTAACATTGTGTATATTTTTGTGATAAAGCAATTAAGCATTTACGTCTGTAAAATAAGGCGGACACCTCAGGGTAATGGAGATTTTCTTAGACAATCAAAGTATTTTTTTTGCCACCATATCAAGATTAACAAAAATTGAAGGAATCAAAATATTTTACAAGACAAATCTTAATAAATTAACACAAAATTGTCGAGGGACCAAAGCCTCCTGAACCCCTACTGGCTACTGATAACTCAACATGTTACATACATACTTATTAAACTCTTTAAAGTCAATGTATTTATCATTAGTCTCTAGTTTAAGTTAGGTGCTTTTATGAATTTTAGTTTCACAATAAATGGAAGTTTTTATTTAGCCATCAACGTGCTTGCTTGTATACGTCGATACGTTGGAGAAAGTCTTTGTGTAAAAGTCTTACTAATAATACTACTCTGTACTATAAAAAAATCAAATGTTGGGAGGGCCCAAGGCCCCCTATCTCAACTCTCAAGCCATAGCTCCATCCCCAATTTCTAAATAATATTGGCATATTGTATTAATTTTATATTAAAGAGAATTGTTTCGAGTTTTGATCGCCGAAAGATGTCACCGATTTTAGGGATCATTAGTAAATCCAACCTTTTGAATTCAGTCCGAATACTTTTATTCGGGCCATATAACTATATAAAAACCCGGACCAGTCACATTTTCGATTCGGGCCAATGTCAGATTCCAGGTCTCAATTGGTTTTTAGCATTAATTAATTAATTGCCTCAAGCGGGAAGGGAACTTACCGCACGGCCGATTAAGTTTGTATATAGTACGAAGTAGAGCCGTCAAAATGGGCCGAAACCCGCGGGTTGGCCCGTTTAAACCCATTTATTGGTGGGTTAGGGTTAAGAATTTCTGACCCATTTAGTTCGCGGGGTTCGTGGGTCAACCCACGTGGGTTGCGGGTTTAAGTGGGTTGGCCCACCGGGTTGCGGGTTGGCCCGCGAGCCAAAATATAAAAATATAGTTTTGAATTTTATTATCATAAATATTGTTCTTTTACTATCAATATTATTAATTACAATTTAAAAAATTACAACCATGACAAACCAATATTTATTTCTATAATAAATATTCAAATAAAATGTTAAAAAGTATATTTTATTTGAAGTTCGATACAATATTTAACAATTAGTAGTCATTATTTACAAATAATCAATCAAAAGGTTAGTGTAGATCTTTATTTTTATACAATGAGTATTTTTGTCGCATACCCTCTTATAATTTTCAAATTCTCGTATAACTATTATTTAATATTTTTTAATTAAACTTAACAAGTATTGATTTTTTAGTATTTTGATTTCTTATATTTCCTTTGTTACTACTCTTGTTTTTGGAAAATCCAATCTTTTATTGAACCAAGCGTAATGACAAAATTCCCTTTGTTACTACTTACTAATATAAATATATACTTCTGGGTAATTATTTTTAAAGTTTTTTTTGTTATATATATTTTTTACATTGGCCCGCTGGACAACCCGTTTAACCCACGAGTTAAGTGGGTAGGGTTAGAGTTGAAGAAATTCTGATCAGTCATTAAACGGGTTGACCCGAACCAACCTCTGCAGCTCTAGTACGAAGTACCAGTAATATATAAAGATAAATTTATGCTACTCGTCCCTGAAGAAGCACGAAAACACTGGGGAAGTTTGCGGCTCAAAGACGCTGCTCAGTGCTCACCATAGCTGAGTACCTCTACTGGTTACAACTTGCGTGTGACCTAATATGGAAAGACAACGGTTTAGCAGAAAGACAGGTTTCCTGCTTGTTATTTTTAATCTAATTGATTAAAATTGATTTAAACGACTTTATATTTTACAGTCTCTGTATTAATGAGACAAAAAGTTTGCTTTCGAGATAAAGTTTGCATTTTTCTCTTTGAATTTGTACAATTGGAGAAACACAGGTATAAAGAGACGAAACAATCAAGAATCGTTTAGGAAGAACAAACGCCGTGGTAGAGATGTGAAGATTGAAGAAAACCAGTTGTCTTGTGATTCAGGTTAGTTGATAACAACACGTCAACACCACACATTAATTAGTAACATTATAATATTTAGAAAAATAAAATATCTTCTCTTCTAAAGTCTGTATCGTTCTGTTTTTGATCACTATTTGTTTCCGTAGATTCACCCAATGAGAAGTTAGAGGAAGAATCTGTAGTCATACATGAAGAAGAAGAAGAAGAGATGTGTTATAGAGAGCCCACAATGTATGAGAACTTGTTACGCTCATTGAGGTAACTAATTCTCTGTTTTCTGAATTATTCGAGATTATGGAATTGGTCAATATTAATGGGACTTCAACTTCACATGTGAACCATTTAGTTAATAGGATTGACTAGGATTGACTCTATCCCAGACAAGTCCAACTTTCATTCATATTTGCTTTTGGTTAGGAAGTTTTTATGAACATTCTTAAGAACCAAATTATGAATTTCGTACTCCCTCCATTCCATTAAACTTTGACCACTTTCCTTATTTTCCTCTGTAAAGAACATTGCTACCTCTTCCTAAAGTAACAAATTTGTGGTTAGTGTTATTTATCTAAGTATTATTTATCCCTTAAAGTATTATTCATATTTGAACAAACCTAAACTATTCAATCTTTACTTTCTAATTAGTATTATTCTCATTGGGCTTAAACTTTGTACAACTTTTATGGGACATAGGGAATATTATTAATACTGTTCTCGTTGGAATTATTTTTACAATTATTAGCATCAGCTACCGGGTCCGGTAGTTGGAAAAATGCTACTACTAAAGAATGAACTCATGACAAATTGACAATAATGACATGATGCATTTTTATTGATTGAAAGTTTCCAATTTAAGTAGGCAAAAAGTAGTGGTTACTACTGATTCAGAAGAAGATTCAGATGATGCTCATGAACCACATGATGGAAATGAAGAGAGCGGAGAAGGTGAGGAACCTAAAGCCCCCTCAAAAAAGTTTTGACAACATATTTAGTTTTGCAACCAGGTTTTTATTTTTTTTATAAAGGATATTTTTTTGTTGTGCCTCCTCCAATTACAAATTCCTCTAGCATAATTTTGTCTTCATCTTCCCTTCTTAAATGGTCATGTGGGAGTTATGTTCTAGAAGGTAGTTTTGATATTGAAAACCTAGGTAGGGGTGTATGATATAAACTGTGTTATATTCATTTTCAAAATTTTAAAGTAAAATTACATATGATCTTCCTCCAAATGGTAGAAAGTGATGATGGGTCTTCAATACTTGGTGATCTGGGAGATGGCCACAAAGAATCTGATTTGGGAGATGATGCTGATTCTGAGGTCTCAGATACAGATGAGGAACAAGATGTGAGAGTAAATGGCCAGCTTGGTGCAGAAACATTAACAAACTCAAGGTGTGCTAGTTTGAGTTGCCCATTCATCTATTTGTGTCATTTGCTTCTTTTGTTGCTCTTAACTATACCGTACTCACTACTCAGTATAGCAGTGCTCGTATAGTTACCATGCAGTTCATGTAATGTAGTATAATTCACGTGGTTTCCCTTGGTGATGTTAACCAAACTAGATAATATATAGTTAAGGGGGGCCTATTTATTGACTTTCTTGGAAATTGTATTTTCCGATAGCAGCTTGCTTGACATTTTAGGTTATGTAATAGAAATTATGCTTTCTTATCTCTTAAAAGAACTTCTCTTGTTCAGAATAGTCATTGAAACTTTGCTTTTCATGTGTGGTTCACCTATAAAACATGGATTCAGAACTAGTACCGTAACATTGACACACCTCGGCTAAATGTATACTGGACACTCCAGTTTGGGCTAAATGTGTGTTGCAATGTGTTCTTTCAATTTTAATATTCTAATGTGATATGGCTGGTCATATCCTATAGCCTGCGCAGTGGTAAGAATTATGCAAAAGAAGCAGATATTGTTTATACCATATTGAGAAAGATGGAATGAGACCTCTATAGATGTATTTAAAGAAATCAATACCCTCTTATAGAGGAGTCTGAGGGACCTAATCCTAGGAGTCTGAGGTCCTGTAAATTACTAAATTAGTAAAATTCGTAATGTATTCGTGAGGTTTCTAACGGTCTGGTTCTAAGGATGGAAACATTCGATACCATATCGTTTAGGAACAATACAAAACGGTACGGTACAATGCCAAGCACATGCTAAAAATTTTGAACAAATCTTGCTATTAGTAGATATCATCACACCGACTAATTCACATGAAATGTTGATATAAATACAAGAAATTGCATACATATTATTAAAATTCACAAATAGTGCAACACAACTAAGAAAAAGTATAGCAATTTGATGATACACTAGATAAATATCATCTTTAATTTACCAAGTTCATGTGAAAATATAAAAAGAATATCATCAAATTGATGAATATATTAGAAAAACTCAAAGTTCTTCTTCTTTGTTCTAGGTTAAATATTAGTTACAGGGCTTAATTTAATTATAGTTGAACCGTGAAAATTAAGATTTAAACCATATTAATTAAGTTGTAAAATTGCACAAACATGATACTACTAAAAGTCATATACACTTCATTACTAGAAATGAATAGTCATTAATGATTTTTAAAACTTTAACATTCTTTCAATACTTACCAAAATATAACATAAATTCTCATAAAAGAAAAAACAACAATATATATAAACACACACATTTAGCTATTTTAGGGACGCATTAATACATACTTGGGCTATAAAATTGTTGGTCTATAAAAGAGATTTATGGAAAAAATATAAAAATTTCAAATGCATTATTTTTGAACGGTCCGGTCCAGTATTTTTTGGTTCTCAAAATCTAGGACCCGGTCGTGTACCCGTTTCAAACGACACAGTTTTGGTTCGGGATAAAAATCTATAGAATCGTTTAAATACCCGGTATTCGGTTCAGTACCGTTACGGGCCGGTTCGGTACTGGTTCGGGTTTTATGCCCACCCCTACCTAAAACCATGTGTAAAAGTAAAACAAGTCAAAACAATATTGTAGGCAGCAGAGTTGTCAATATTTCATCATTCTGCATTATTATCACTTAATTCTAATGTGCGGGAGTTAATGTCTTAATAAAGTAGCGTATTTGCTAAGATATTAATTTTATCATTTGTAACTCAACACCACTTCAATTACTGCAATTGACTCTTCAGTCAAGAGTAGATGATCTTTTTACTAAGATGTGAAAGTGTTTTTATGCTTGTAGCACCTTTCATAAACATTTGGGATACAAATTCTCCAACGATGAGGCTAACAAGTTGTTGGACAAAAAGTGGAAATACAAATGGAATTCTGAAGAATCAAATTGCAAGTGGAAGGGTACTGGTGAATGCTTTCTCAAGGTAAGTGTTATGTACCAGGATTGAGTTAAAAGAGTAAATGTAATGGGGCTGTGAAAATTTGGGAAGTTTTCCTTCTCCTTTGGAATATTGGAAGTTTTCTCTCTCCTTGTTTAATTCTTAACTCTCTTTCTGGATATATTTTATTAGCAAATCAAATCTTTGTTTTATACTAGGGTTTACATGGATAGAAATGCCTAAACCAAGGAAAGGAAAAAATCCCAGCAAATTACCTCCAAATATTCAATTCAATATAGTATTTACCTCACGTTGGTACTATGTTATTTAATGTTCCCAAGCTATTTTTCTGGAAAACTTTGAATGTTTTTGTGTATGTGTAAGTTTAGGTTTATATTTTTAGGGGGTGTTTGGATCTACTTCATAAAAATGCTTCTGCTCCTTCACGGAATAGAAGCAAATATTGGAGTGTTTGGGTAAAAGTGTAAAACTGCAGAAGTACTTATGGGTGCTCCAAATTGCTCCTAGAAGCAGTTTTTTAGAAGCTAGGGGGAGTCCAGCTTCTGAAAAACTGATTCTAATTTTGATTCTTCTTTTAAAAAAGAAACAGGAGCAAAATCAATTCCAAACATTCCCTCAGTATTCAATGATTTCATATTTTTCACTCTTTCATGGAACATGCCTACATGGGTATCACTGTATGTGTATATATGAGTAACACATTTTTTCAAAACACAATGTGATTTATTCTGCCCTGTATTTGGTGTTTAGGAACTAGACATGAATTCATGTCATGGTCTCAAACCAGTATTGTATAAACATTGGTTGGACACTTATAAGGAGTCTGGTGGCCAAGATTTTCATTCATCCAGGCAGATGTCGTTCTTCTCCATGTGTGAGTGACGCTGATTACATTGACATGAGTCTATATTCTTGTTGCTTCTTTAATCAACACTCAAGGTTAATACTATGAGTATGTTTTTTGTTCTATTTTATGACAGACTCGAAGTAGATTTGTTAGTTTATCCAGTAGGTTTTTAACAAGTGACAAAAAATGAAGTTTCTCCCAACCATATGAGAATTCTTTTTTAACAAGCAACAATTACAAACTCGTATAAAATCTTGGTCTCCATTAGGATTTCACCAGGAATGATTAAAAGCTCTGCATCTGGTATTAGAGATAACATTTAGAGAGGAGAGTATACGGAACCCACAACTTGAACTCTATGTAGTTTTCACTTTGCAGTTTTATTGGTATTCTTTCTCTGTTGTTGTAATTGTAAATATTTTTCTAATGAGTAGGCAACAGCTATCGAGATATATTGCATCATAACAAGAGGCCATTCTATCTTAAAGGTCGAGAAGAGGATGCTAACATCATGGATGCTTATCTTGTGCACTCGGTAAGACGATTCTTTTCATTTTATCTTTCACATTGTCTGCAATTTTCTTGCCCACATTTTTTTTCAATCACCGTCCTTGTAAGCCAAATGTTTGTTGTTTTGTAGCTCAATCATGTATTCATGACTAGGGATCTTGTGAAGAAGAACAGAGCAAAACTGGCTAAGGCACAAGAGAACATGCAAGTGGATGTTTTGAACAGTGAAGCCTTTCTTGACCATGGTTTTACTCGTCCTAAGGTATGGTATACCTTTGTTTTTTTATAAAGTGATAGACTTAAGTTTTCTGAAAGGAAAATACTCTTGGACTAAACTTAATGCTAGTAATGTGATCTGTATTGGTCTAGCATTGATTTGTTATTGTGCTTTAGGTTTTGATTCTTCTACCACTTGCAAGCATTGCACTTCGGGTAGTTCGTAGGTTGATCGAGTTAACACCTTCAAAGTACAAGGTATGTCTAGTGTCTACTGGTCTTGCGCATCACCAAGTCAAAGCTGTCAGGTCTCACATTTCTATAGGAAAGTAGGAACTTTATTGCATTCATACATTGCTGCTTCAAGTGTGCAATATAGTACCTTAACTGTAGAAATAAGTTTTTTTCAATTCAGTAATAAATTAGCCTATTATCATACTCAATTGCTTAAATCAGTTAAATGTGTGCTATCTTTCATAAAAGAATACATTTGAAACATCTAAAAATATGCCTACACGTGCTAAAACAGTGGAGACCGAAGGGATTAAATTTTATTGTTAGTTATCAGAATTAAGCACATAATAGTAATGAGAATGAGAGATTTTTTTTTGTTTTTCATTGGAGGTTTAAGGCCCCATACATATAGATTACAAAGACATAATATTCCTATATAAGATCATAAGATGCTATACAATAATTAACATTTAGAGTATATTCCTAATATATTCTAAAACATATTCTTATACTTGTTCTAATATCTTTCACACACCCCCTCAAGTTGGAGCATAGATATTTATCATGTCCAACTTGTTACACAAGTAACCAACACGAATCCCATTTAGTGCTTTAGTGAATAAATCCTGGACTAAGGTTCTGAATAGAGAATAGAGATAGGGGGTAGTTGGCCTAGACTAAGGTTCTGAATAGAGGTTCTGGTAAATGGTGTAGAGGGTCTGTCCTGAAGTGAGTTTGTTGGAGACAGAATAGTGTGTAGAGGTTTTGAACTGAACTCAGGTTCTTGGAGAAAGAATCCAGCCTGAAAACTAAACTGAAATGGAAGGCTCTGATACCATGTTATCAGAATTAGGCATATAATAGTAATGAGAATGGATGGATTTTCTCTGTCTTTCATTGGAGGATTAAGGCTCTATAAATATAGATTGCAAAAACAGAATATTCCTATATAACCACTACGTATATAAGATGCTATACAATAATAATATCTAGAGTATAAATATATTCTAAAGCATATTCTTATACTTATTATAATATCATTCACAATTATAATAAATGTACTGTAGTAATAGAATCATACCAAGTCTGAAAATAAGTATGAACAACGTAAAGTCATCAGTGTGGGTTCCTGAGTTAAATAATTAAAATTAAAATCCACCAAAGATTCTTTTTTGGCTGGATGCACAATGTGATCACACCTAAAGTTTTAGTTTATGGTTGACATGTCCAATACTCTGACATAATATCCTATAGCCTTTGTTTACTTGTTTCTCCCTTGATAGCTAGTGGAATTAAAGAGAAACAACCTTCTGGGATTGCTTGTAGCTAAAAACTTTACTTTTGAGATGCAACTTTTTTGGATGATTTTGGTTCCTTAGGCTAACATAGAGGAGCGTGATCGGTTTTTTCGAGAGTTCGAAAGTGAAGCAACCACTGATGAGTATGAAAATATGAAAACTCCTAAACCATCTGATTATAAAGCACTGTTTGGAGGGAAAAACAACGACCACTTCATGCTTGGGATAAAGTTTAACAGGTCTGTATGTGAGCATGCACTTTTGAAAAAAAGTGAAGCAAAATCGTGAATTATCATTCTTTCTTCCAGATCCATTTGGAAACCTTGTGTAGTGACTCACCGCTTTTAGTTTTTTGTATGCTTTTATTGAATAAAACTTTGTAGGAGGAGTATACGATTGTACAGTGATTTCTATTCTTCGGATATGATTATTGCATCTCCTCTTGGTCTAGTCACGGTAAGCATTCACATGTTTGCATCTTCAATTATCATTAGTTGTGTCAATGAACAATTTGATGATTTGTTCCAAGGTTTAAAGCTGTTATGCCTTGATTACTTTCTACAACATATTGTTTAATGATGTAATGTTGATCAGCTGGTCCAAATAATAAACTCATCTCCACTTATCCCTCAGCGGTGAAGTGTTTATCGATTTTTTTTCCAAATGTGATTCATTTCCTACTTACCTTAAATTTCTCTTCAGATCATGGTCCACCTCGTCTCATCCTAATATATTACCTTAATTTTGTTGCCTATCTGCAATTTGACTAGATCTTTATTTACATCAGAAAATTGGGGAGGCTGAAGCAGTTAAAGAAAAAGATGTTGATTATCTTTCTTCTATAGAGGTCAGGTAATCCTGCCTCCAAGATTGCACTGCTGTCATTATGAATTAGTGATGCTCATACCTTGATAATTACTGTGTATAAAACAGGTTCTAATAATAGATCATGCAGATGTAATGTTAATGCAGGTATGCTGTACTGTTTATGCTCTCAATTTGTTATGGTGATTCCATTATTTGTTACTTAGCTCTCTTGTGAAACAAAATTCTGTAGAATTGGTTCCATGTGGTTGAAGTACTTGAGAAACTTAATAATATACCTTCTAAGCAGCGTGGAACAGATATTATGCGCATAAGGCAATGGTAGGTTTGTTGTAACACGCATTTTGTAATTTTGTTATTTTGTATTGTTGTCCTCTTATTTCCTTGAATATTTATTTTAATTCAAATGGGGACTGTATGTAGGTACTTAGATGGACAGGCACCACTCTACAGACAAACAATGATTTTAAGCTCACATGTAAACCAAGGTGACAAATCTGCATTGAAAAATCTGTTACTTAAAATAACTTGAGGATTTGGTTTTAATGCTTAAACTGTTTTGTACAGACATCAATGCTTTATTCAACCGTCATTGCCTCAACTATGAGGGAAAGGTTTGTATATCAAATGATATCTAGTAATGCACAACATACAAATATATGTGTTGTCATTACCTTATGATCTCATTTAGGTGATAAATTTTGTAATTTTGGCCTTGTTGTCTGAGCATTTACATCAAATAAAAATTTGATAAGAACTCATGAAAAAGCGGAATATTTTAAGGATTATCAAAAAGGACTTTTTGTTGCAGGTTAAATCGGTCTGCATGTATAAGGGTGTTCTTCCTGAAATAGTGATTCAAGTCCGCCAGGTGTGTTAAGACTACTCCTAGTTGGTTTTATCTACTACATTATATTCGACTAAACCTATATTTATCCTTGATATTGTGGATATGTTTATGGAGTAAATGTCAGAAAATCATGCTTTAAGTTTTCTCCAACATCTTGGACAAACTATATATTTATTTACAAGTTACATTATAAGCCTCTGAAGTAAACATAATAGTGCAACTTGCTCTGGAAATAAAGGTAGCCAAGACTAAGTAACCATATCACCTTTGAACTCTGAAACTCACATAATTAGGCTAATTGTCACTGTTTTAAGTTTGCCATCACGTAACTTGTTTTAAAGATGATATGGTGTGGAGTGCGTACTATGGAGTACAACAACAACAACATCCAAGCTTTAGTCCCAAAAGATTTTGGGGTCGGCTAACATGAATGGATACATGATATCATAACTAAAAAGAAAAGAAGATAAGCTATGATAAAAAAGATAATATAAAAAGAGATGAATATACAGAAAAATGAGAGAATAAAAAGGATAAAAAGAATATATATACATATATATACATACATATATACATATATATATATATATAGGGCAGTTCACATCAGGAGCTCCTGAAGAGAAGCCCCTTGCAAACAAGACCATTAGAGGGTCTTCCCGGTAGAATTTTTTGATGAAATTTTTTGAGCATGTTCCTCACTAAGTCTAGTTTGTCCATACCAAATTTCAGCTCAAAATTTGATCGGGAAGGGATTAAAATAAATTCTTGAAAAATATGGCGCATTCTGCGCACATAAAATGTGCAGTATGTTTCTAGGATTTATTTGACTGCCTTCCCGATCGAATTTTGAGCTGAAATTTGGTATGGATAAACTAGACTTGATGGGGAACTTGCTCAAAAAAATTCATCAATAACTTCCACCGGGAAGACCCTCTAATGATCTTGTCCGCACGGGGCTTCTCTTCAGGAGCTCTTGATAGGAACGGGACTACACACACATATAAAGATAAAACCATAAAAAAACAAGAAAGAAAAAGAAGATGAAGGGGAAAAGATGATAAGAGATCACTCCTCCACACGAATGTCCGCCCTTCACTTTGCTCTCTCCAAAGTCATGTCCTCATCCAACCCAAGAAGAAGCATATCACTTTTGACTCCTCTAATCTACATCTGTTTGGGTCTTCCTCTCCCTCTCTTCCCTGCCTCTACATCACACATCTCAACTCGTCTAACGGTGCATCACTCGGCCTTCTACGCAAATGACCAAACCACCGTAAGCGAGACTCCCACATCTTATCTTCAATAAGTGTCACTCCCACCTTTTGTCTGATTGTCTCATTCCTCATGTGGTCCTTTCTATTATGTCCACACATCCAACGCAACATGCACATCTCTGTCACACTCATCTTTTTTGAATGTGACATTGTTTCACCGCCCAACACTCTACGTCATACATTAATGCAGGCCTAATTGTTGTCTTATAAAATTTATCCCTCAGTCTAATCAGCATATCTCGATCGCATAGAAATCCTGACGCACTCTTCCATTTCATCCACCCTGTTCTGATTCTATGAGATACATCTCCATCTAATTCACAATCCTTAATTATGGAGCCCAAGTAACGGAACATATCTTTGACTAGTATTTCCTTACCATCACCGTTATTGCCACTGCTCCTGCCTCCACCAAACTTGCACTTCATGTACTCTGTCTTGCTTGTCTTGCATCGACTCAGTCTGAAACCCTTGTTCTCCAATGTTTGTCGCTAAGTCCAATATTGCTTTAAAACCTAATTGAGTCTCATCAATCAATATCGTCGGCAGACTTCATGCACCCACGATATATCGTCTTGAATTGACTTTGTAGGTTCATCCATTACTATGGCAAATAAGAGGGCTCAGAGCCGATCCTTGGTGCAATCCGATAGTCATAGGGAATTGTGCAGTCCTCTCTACACTAGTACGAACACTTGTAATACAATCCCCATACATATCCAATTATCCATGATGATGTTGGTATACTTGCATGGTATGCTTTATCTAGTTAAGGCCCACCAAAGAACTTTTCGAGGTACCCTATCATATGCCTTTTCTAATTCAGTGAACACTAAATACAGTTCCTTGTTAGTGTCTTTATACTTCTCCAAAAGTTTCCGAAGAAGGTGAATGACCTCAGTTGTTTAGCGACCATACATTAAACTGAATTGATTCTTTGAAATCTTCACACTTCTTCGGAGTCTTTGCTCAATCACCTGCTCCCAAAGTTTCATTGTGTGACTCATGAGCTTAATCCCTTGATAGTTGACACATTTTTGTATGTCACCCTTATTCTTAAGTTGGCACATATCATAATGTAGAATTTTTTTAGTTGACATGGAATATTTAATAGTAATAACAGTAAAGTATCTTCAATAAATATAAAATCAGTAGGCTAGGTGTGTGTTATTTTCTTGAATGAATAAAGTATTTTTCTTTACTCCTATCAATAAGTGCTGAAGGGAAGCCTTGGCGCACCGGTTAAGGTGTTGGGTCAAGAGGTCACAAGTTCAAGTTTTGGGAGTGCCTCTTGTCAAAAGTTGACACTTGACAGTCTTGTGATGGGACCCTTCTCTGGACCCTCACATTGTTTCGTGTACCTGGAGTCCTAACAGGTGCTAATTAAGTAGTTAACCTTCAAAACCGGTTACTTGATATGCTGTTGGCAACACTAACAACTGGTTCAACTACTTTTGAGGGACCAATTGCAATATTTCCTAAATATGACACTAATTACTGTTTTGTCATTTTATTAGTTCATGTGTTCATTAGCCTTAGACCGTCCTTTTTCCGTCATTGTGGTTAAGTTCACGCGCAACAATATTTTTGCATGTACTGTTGTAATGACTATTTAGGTGTGCGCATTTCCATATTCTTCTTGTCAACCCTACTACAGGTTTATCAACGTTTTGATGCCAAGACAATAGTTGATGCAGCTAATGATCGTTTTGAATATTTCACTAAAAAGGTATTTCTCTCATTTTTTATTTTAAAATAAGAAAATGATTTTATGTTGGAATGGATAGTTGTCGCTTGTCATGAATTGAAATGTATTACAGGAAGTTCCAGTATAGAGATCATCAAGATAATAAAAGGATAATGCAAAGAGTTGGAAAAAATGTCATGTCTGGTTAGAGGGGAGAAAGTAGTATTCTAGAAAAAATATGTAAGAAAACTGAACTTCCTTTATCGAGAGAATCCTTTTCTAAAAAGGAAAGAGAAGATAATATAGTGGGCGAACAAATAGGAAATAATGAAGATTAATATATATGTGTTTGTACATATACGCATGTTTGTGACTCTGTGTAATCTAGAAACTAAACTACTCTGACTTTCTACTTATGCAGCTATTTCCTAAGATAAAAGATTCAATTGAGGTATTTCTCTACTGGGTTTAAAAAATAACTCATCCTCCTTTTTCTTTCCTACATTTTTTATAATAATAACTACTTTTCTATTGGGCATTTCTCCAATACTCTCTCTCTATGCAGGGTGGCATCATGATATTCATCAGTTCTTACTTCGACTATTTCAGAGTTAAAAAATTCCTGAAGGCGCAAGAGGCGTCATTCTGTAAGCTGGGAGAGTAAGAAACCATCTTCTCTTGTAGAAGTTAAACACCATATGTCCATATCTGCACAAGTGCATATAGAATAACTGTTTTTTTTTTGTGAATAAACATGGCTTTGTTTTGTTTTAAAATGTAAACAGGTATACCAAGCAGAGTGACATCTCTCGTGCCCGAAACTGGTTTTTTGCCGGACAGAAAAGCATCATGCTCTACACCGAGAGAGCTCACTTCTATCACAGATACAAGGTTTTTTATTTTTTCTTGTCTTTCATTTTTTTGTCTGCGGTTCTGCACTGGACTGCCTTTTTATTGCATTTGACCTGGACATATGTGCTGTATCTGATACCTATTTTTATTTTTTCTGTTTCAACTCATGTTTTGAAAAGATCCGTGGTGTTCGTAACTTGATCATATATTCACTTCCCGAGAGGAAGGAGTTTTATCCCGAGGTTAGTGTGATTTGCATACTCCTTTTGTCATTTCTCCTTTTACATGATAACTCAAGAAAACACTCTAATGGAGTAATGGTGTGTTTGGCTGGTGGAAAGGAATAAAGGAGGAATGGAGTGGGAGAATAATTTGTGAGTAATATTTCAATTTTTCATTTTCATTTACCCCAGTGCCGCAAAGGCTCCCACCTACGGTGGGGTAAGGGGGGGGGTCGGATGTATGCAGTCTTACCCCTGTACTAAAGCACAGAGAGACTGTTTCCAGATGACCCATAGTGAAAATCGCGTCCAAAATTGCATGGACTGACTGTTGCTTCATAACAAAGAAGCGCAGACAGTTTAGTGAGCCATTTTCCTTTATTCCATCATATTCTCAAGCCAAAAAATAATGAATCTTTGGCTCCATTGCAAATGATGGAAAAATAATTTGTGAGGAATAAACAAAATCAAAATTCCTTAGTTTGGTAATTTGATTAATTGGAAATAAAAAATGTACTCCCACCAACCAAGCATGCACTTGGGGTAGTAATATGCTTGAAAGGTGTTACCCATATGTTTCCATTCCTTGCAACAGATTGTTAATATGCTACAAGGCACAGATTGCACAGCTTTATATTCTCGTTTCGACCTGATTCAGGCAACGTCCTTACTCCATTTCCTATTTTTGTCTCCCAGTCTTGGGGTTTGTTTGTTGCTACTTACGCATGCTTTTGGTATTCAGCTTGAAAGAATTGTCGGTTCTACTGCTGCAAAACGGATGGTCACTTCAGATGAGGGTACATTCATCTTTGCATGATGCTATGTGCTCATATTACTCAAAACTCCTAGGAAGATGAGTCTGCACGGGCATTCATTTATTTTTACCAATATTTTAACGCATGTCTTGCGCTGATTGATCATTTAATTTATTTTCGTATCATGCTCATACAAGCTAAAGTTTTGATAGTTTGATCACAACATATTAGTCAAATGTGAGATGTTAATTTTATTAGACTACTACGTGAACCATAATAATCAGTGCAAAAGTTGTTCACAATAATCAGTGCAAAAGTACTTGGCTGATTGTTCTCATCTCAACATATGCATCAACCCATATGGATGAGTTGCTCTAGCAAGATCCTTGAATAGGAATTGGGTGATACAAAATGATACAAATAAATTGGATGATCAGGTGACGATTAGTTAAAATGGTGCATTCATTTCACTTGCCTAATTCTATTGAGGTGGACTTCTATTTGTATTGGCAAAGAGAACAAGGAACATATCTTTTTGCCGATGTGAAACAAAGAGCAAATAATGATGAGTATACTTAAATTTATCCACTTGGACTAGTCAAAATGGTGCAGTTGAATTATTTAAATTTAAATTATAAATGATTTAATGTTGTGGACCAATTAAGTGAATGGTAGGCAAGTAGGTACGGTACCCCATTTTTTAAATTGGTACCGGAGTTGTAATCTTACTTATATACGTAGTACTCCGTAGTACTCTAATAACTATTAATCTATTATAATGAATTATATAATCATAGAGTTTTTTTTCGAATTAATGTTAATTAATTAATTAATTACGGAAATAATGCTGAAAAAAAAGTATTTACCAAAATACTGCTGGCCCTTAACCACGGTCAGGGGTAAGTCGCCCAATCGTTGGGTGACTTATAAATCGCCAAACGGTTTGGCGACTTATAAGTCGCCCAACGGTTGGGCGACTTACCCCTGAAATATGGTTCAAGGCGAGCAGCTATTGCCAGCCAGGCACGATCGTGCCTACAAGGGTACGCACGATTGTGCCTATATCCGAAAACAGCATTTCATCTGGTTTTTCGCCCCGGTTCAACCCAGACTCATCTGTTTGCTATAAATAAGGTCTCCCTTCTCCTGTTAAAGTATTACGAACTAGATACAACACATTATAAAACATACAACACACGTCTTCACATTAAAAACACCTTATAAACACCCGTAAAAACCTTCAAATCACAACCGGAATAACACAATACAATCATCATATATGCCATAACAAGTAATCATCTAATATTCATACTCGAACACATCAATACATCATACAATACTTAACAAGACAAAATACATCAAAACTTGTACATTGTTCGTACAACATCTACTGCATAAGATAAACTACAATACAAAAGACAAATTACAAGTTCTCATCATCAGCTTCGTCATGGAGATGTTGCTGCTCATGTCTACGCCTACGGCGTTGTCGTGGTTGAAGAACCACTCTCTCATGTTGCGTCTGGGATGATGAAGCCGCGGTTGCACTAGACGTGGATGCCATCTCCAGAGATGGGGGCATGTGTATAAGATGTCCGTAGTCTACTCGGTCCAACACATCTGAGCACAACGAGGCAATGCCTGTCAGAGCCTGTCCATACATGTCCACATCAGGAATATCAGTCACAGTGGCAATAGCCCGCTGATGTATGCGCTGCAAAGCTCGTGTCTGAAATATGAAACACAATTACAATTACATTCAAATACATACAAGTATTACATAAATAAAATGACTTACTTTACTAATTACTAATATACTCACCGTAAGATGCAAAGCCAAGGAGCTAGGCTGATAATGATGAGTAGGGAGTCTGAATGAAGGAGACACAAATAACCGAGTGATGCTGTAGTACCATCCCATGTAGTCTCCTGAAACAGATGGCACATATGTGGGTGTCCCAACCACAGCTAGCTCAGCTCTCCTTTCCCACATAGTCACGTATCGGACATGTCTGAGTGCCCAATCCTCTGTATGCTTCCCACGCCTATCCAGCTTATGCAGCTCTACATAAGTGTCGATAGGACGTGGAACGACCTGCTCAAACCCAAACTGTCGCATGACTCTATCAGGCAAATGCAGCTCAACAATGTCAAAACATATCAACGGGACACGTGCTCGCCAGATGTGAGTATGCTCTCGTCCAGTTGGGGGCAACTCTGCTAACATATCAGGTCTAAACGGCATCCATGTGATCTGTTTCATAAACATACAAAATTAGTATTTATTCTTCACCTATTCTAGTTAATGTTATACTACATACACCATACCTGGTCCTCAGACATCCGATCCAATGCATCCCTGTAGACACCGAGCCCAATAGCGGATGACATGCGAGATAGACCAGCATATAGCCACCTAACCATTCATGTAACATTATCAATAATATGGATATTATTAATTTATTAACATTCAACAAATACTCACATAAATACAAACGATTGAAAACATACCGACGGCCTAGAGGGTCCTCGCCCCGTACATGATGTGGTCCTAGCAGACGTGGAGGCTCATCAGGCAGTGGCTGTCCATCAATGCCATGATATCCGACTATAATGGGACGGCCAATGTGGATATACTCCCATGACCAAATCTGGAGGAGTAGCAAAAATCCCCCCCAGCTCTGTGCTCCCTCTCTGGCAGCCGCGACACAGCTGTCTGTATAGATAAGCCAGGGTGGCACTACCCCAGCTGAACTGTGCTGCTACATCAAACCTCTCCAGCAAAGGCAAGTGTAGCACCTGAACCTCATTTCTGCTCTTGTCAGCAAAAATGGAGGCTCCCATCATCATTAATATATACGCCCGAGCATGCTGCTGGATGATCACCTCATCAGCGTCGGGAGGAAGGACCTGGAAGTGCTCCCTCAACCACGGCATCCTAAGAGATGACCCCTGAAGGTCAGTCCTAAGAACGGGGCGGATACCTAACAACCGCTCACACTCATCAACCCACTGTCGACAAGCAGTGCCTGTAACAGCTCTCCCATGAACCTCTAACCCGGTGAGTACAGCCACATCTCCCAATGTCACAGTCACCTCACCAACAGGGAGGTGAAATGAGTGTGTCTCCTGCCTCCAACGCTCAAGTAGAGCAGTGAGAAGGGATCTATCAAGAGGCACAGTAGCCACTAATCTGTGCAGTGTAAAAAAACCAGCAGCACGAACATAGGCTAGGACTCTGGGGTCGACATGTAAATGGGACAAACCCCGCAGGTGCTCGCGGCACCTATCAACCTGGACATCCATGCCAAGCCAAACATCCTCACTCCTGTGCGAGGCCTGCAATGTCAGGACAGAACGATCACTCGGCCCAGGATCCGCTATCACCTCCATGCCTACAAACAAATAAAATTTGTATTAGTTCTAATTGTATAATGTATTACTTTTTTTTTAACATTCCTTTTTGAAATTATTAAGTTTCCCTCAAGGAAAACATGATTTATGATTGACTCTAAATAGAACCTTACCCGGCGGACCCCCCCTCTTGTCTAGACGATCTTTTCGCACATGTCGCTCTATTATGGCCGGTTTGGTGGCATTTTCCACATCTAACCGTTCCTCGTGGACCTTCATCCATCTCATTCTTAATACGGGTCGACTTTGGTCTTCCCTTTGCCCGAAGCATGGATGGATCGTGCACGATTTCGGGTCCATTGTAATTTGGCCAATAATCACGATCAGGAATCGGTTTGAACACCCTATGATATGTGGCGGCGTATTGGTCAGATGAGAAGAACTTATCCACAAAAGGACCATAAGACAAACTACGTTGTCTACACACGGCTAATACATGAGAGCATGGAATCTTGTATATCTGCATCTTTTTACAAGTGCAAGTTTTCCGTTGTAGGTGGACAGTTTGTTTTCTCCCACCCTTTCCCAACGTTCGGCCACCACAACCGGTTTCCACCTGAAATATACCTCTCCCTAAATCAAATGGAGTGACAATGTGATGCTTTGCCTTCTCTCTATTTTTTTCAATTAAATCTGTAATGTGTGGGGAGTACTCGTGGCCTTGTGTGAGCCTCAATTTACTGGTTTCACGCCTATGCACAAAGTAGGCATTAACCCGGTAAAAAGACACCTGGACCAACGCGGTAATGGGCAAATATCTAGCATTTTTCATGACGCTATTGAAAACCTCAGCTAGATTTGAAGTGATGGTACCGTATCTGTACCCGCCATCGTGGTGCAGCGACCACATTTCTGGAGGAATGTTGGCCAAAAATTGGCGTGCATCCCTACTCATTTCACCTATCTTCTTGAGCCCACCATCAATTTTTTTTTTCTGATGTTGCCGTGCGGTCCACACAAAAAGATTTTTTAAATGAATGTCTTTGAAATGTGTGTGCACATTTGATGCAAGATGGCGGATGCAAAGCCTATGATGCGCATAAGGCTCCTCCCATGTACTGCCCACCTCATTCATTGCCCTGACAATACCTCCATGTCTATCTGAAATGACACACAACTCCCTGTCAGTCACAAACTGCCTAATACATGCCATAAACCATGACCAACTATCTCTATTCTCGGATTCAACAACTGCAAAGGCGACTGGGAAAATTTGGTTGTTCGCATCACAACCCATGGCCACGCGCAATGTACCCTTGTACTTTCCATACATGTGTGTGCCATCAATAGTAAGTACGGGTCGACAATGCTTAAAACCAGATATTGAGGCCTTGAATGCCCAAAAAACTCTTTGAAACATCATATAACCTGTGGAACCATTGGGGGTGGGTACCACTGAACAACAGTTCCTGGATTAGAATGTTGGAGCGCTGTCATGAAACGGGGCAATTCGAAATATGACTTTTCCCAACCGCCAAATATGTGTGCTATGGCCTTTTGCTTCCCCATCCATGTTCTCTGGTAAGATACCGTATACCCATATTTTTCCTTCAACATCTCGATGATAGTATGCACTTTAAGAGAAGGATCAGTGCGAATAATGTCAACCACATCTTTACAGATGAATTCTGATGTCAAGGCCACGTGATCTGTAGTGTCGATGTTGCCTACACATGAAGCAGAATGAGGTCCAGTATAACGCACAATTGTGAAGGTGTCAAGGTTGCCTTTGTTCTTTGTGGCACGTATTCTCCAAGGGCAATGACATTCTTTCTTCCTTTTGCATTGTGCCACCCATTTGTGTTTATCAGACTCTATCACCCGATAGAATTGGTTCCGTTTGATAGAATACAAGCTCACCATATTGATGACTTGTTCTTTGTTGTCAAACTGTTGACCGACCTCAAACTCACCATCGGGGGTAAACCTTTTCTCACCTGACCCACTCATCCACGCATCAGTAAAGCC